GTTCGGGGGTCTCGGTGCGCAGCCGGCACTGCGGGCCGCGTCCTGAGCGGGGGTCGTGGTTCTCCTGTCGGCAGCCGGGGCGGAATTGCAGTACGCGCGGTGCCCGACGAGAAGGAACTTTCCGGCTCTAGTGCTTGTTGTAATGCTTAAGGTTCAGGAAGGCAGAGTTTTGTGGGTTTTAATTCTCGTGATGCTTTCCGCTTGTAGTTCCATGTCAGCTGCTGACATCAGGCTCTCTGAAGATGAGCTTTATTCTGCAGATGTCACTTTCTCCGTTTCTGTTTCCCTGCAGCAGGATCTCTGATGACCACAAAGCATTCACAGCCACAGTCTACGTTTGCAAAAAGTCTGACCTCAACGAGTACAAATCCCCCTTACTTTAAAGCAGCAGGTACGTTATGGTGGTGTTTCTTTTGGCTTTCTTCTCTGGGCTGTTTTCCTCAGTGTCCTGAGTTCCATACCCAGGTTCCTGAATTACGGCTTAGAAACCTGTAAGATCATAGAAACCCTATATGATCCTACGAGTAGAAAACGATCTGTTAAACTGCCACCCGGTTTTGTGTGTTTTATACCCTCTCAGGGTGGTGGGAGTTCTGGAAGGACTCCAGCTCTCTGCAGGAGCTTGTCACTGTTCCCTGTCCAACGTAAATACAGGTTTTGTAGCTGAAGGGGTGCATCAGGACCGGCTGAAACACTGTTCCTGCTGGTAATTTCAGAGATGATGCTGAACAGCGTGCGGACAGCAAATGGGCAGGCTAACTGCAGGCTGCGTTAGACCTGAGCTAGAAGTAGGTTACACGTGTCAACCCGCTTCTGTACCTAAAGCGATTACTCGTGCTGGGAGATGCTGGCTGAGACGGCACTAATCTGTGCTCAGCCCTGTTCTGGTGCTGTGCTGCGCGGTACAGAACTGCTGCGGGATCCTGGCCGGGCGCGGTGCCGCGTAGCTCACCTGGCCAGTGCAGCGCTGCCTGCAGCACAGGCTCGAGGTGCTGTGCACTGAGGGATGAGGAAAGCCCTGAGTGCCAGTGCCTGTCTTCCCATGTGTATGTGCAAAAGAAAACGGATGTGTATATATAGAGACTCTGCAGCTTTTTTAATTCATTTTCTTAATTTTATTCACCTATTTCGCCTTTCAGAAAGTACAGAAATTCCATCTTACGTGACTAAATGTCCTAGCAATGGGCTTTGCAGTAGACTGCCACCAGAGTGTATGACATGCAATACAAACTATTCCTGCATATATGGGAAGCCAGCCTCCTTTGACTGCAGAGTCAAGCCACATGTTCATTGTGTTGTAAGTAACCTGTATTTTTAAACCCAAATTGAAGTCCTTTGAGTAAACTGTGGCATCTTGCCATCAGATAGAAAATAATTGGTTTCCAGGTTCCCACACAGGCAGGTTTCCAGCCCTGCGTAGTCTGATGCAGCTGTAGGCCGTTGCTGCGGAGGCAGACCTGCCTTTCTCTTTTGCCTTTCTTGCCTTGGACCTTTTGGTTACAGAGCCGTGCAGTTGAGCCAAAGCAACGTGTTGCCCAGTCCAAACTGACCCATTTTGAGAGCGTGGAGGCAGGTACCTGTCAGAGGTACAAAGTGATCGGACAGGCGAGACCGAGCGAGTCATCCCTTTGGCGGTAGCCGTAGGCTGGCAGAAGCAGTAATGTCCAACTGCGCTTTAAAAACTGTCAGTTTTTGTGCTGACGTTGGGGTTGTACTTGGCTACGTGGCAGTCACAAAGAGGGTGACTGTGGTGTCTGTCCGTGGAATATCACTTGATACTGCACACTCCGGTTGTTCTGTTGTGGCTGGTGAAGTGACGATGCTGTCCTTCTGTAGGATCAGAATAACCACGAGCAGGAGAACTTCACAATTAACATGACGTGCCAGTTTTGTTGGCAGCTGGCGACAGCTGATTACGTGTGTACCAACTCTACGAACTGCATGACGGTTTCTTGTCCGCGACAGCGCTACAACGCCACCTGTACGGTGCGGGATCATATTCATTGCCTAGGTAAGGTGGGCTAGAACAGATTCTGTGAAGAAGCTTTTTTACTGAAGAATTTCTTAACGGTTTTTGTAATGGGTGGGCACAGTGGTTGTTTACGTCTGCTGCGATAACAGCCTGCACCTTGATGCATCTGTTGAGCTTTTCATAGCTGTGTTTTAATGTTTAAGTGTAATAGTGCCATCTAACACTGGCTTTTAATACTGTTGTGTGCCTTCACACCAGAGAAAACAGTTATGTTTTGGTTTATAGAACAGACTGGTTTGGGTTGGAAGGGACCTTACAGACCATCCAGTTCCAACCCCCCTGCCATGGGCAGGGACACCTTCCACTAGACCAGGTTGCTCAAAGCCTCATCCAGCCTGGCCTTGAACACTTCCAGGGATGGGGCATCCACAGCTTCTCTGGGCAACCTGTCCCAGTGCCTCCCCACCCTCTCCAGGAAGAATTTTTGTTAACTTCTATGAATTAAACTGATTTGGACACCACTAGCCCAATCAATATCAGATGTCTCAGTAGGATAATTTAAAAGAATCCATGCTGCTCTCACCCAACCAGTTTAATGTTCCCCCGGTAGCTCAGTGACCTGGCACGCTGTCTGACGTGGGATGGACGAGCAGCGGACTGTAGAGTGCATACAAGCTTTTGTGTTGACAGTGTTTGTTGCAATTAGCATTAGACCCTCGTTAGAGAAATACAGTATCTTCTTGCTTGTCGTTTTCTTACTCTTGATTTGTTACACTAAGGTTTGAATGTTTTCTAACGTTTAGGTAATCGAGTCTTTCCTAAGATGCTCTATTGCAACTGGACTGGAGGCTATAAGTGGTCTACTGCCTTGGCACTAAGGTACACAAGCACAATTAGACCCCGTCAAGCTCAGATTATGTTATTAGAAATAGCTTAATTGTCTATGAAATCTTCAGTTTGTGTGGTTTTCTGCATGCTGTTTTGTAAGGGTGTGCCAAGTAACCATTACTTCAGACAGCCTAGCTAGAATTTGGAGGCGTGGGCTGCACAAAGGTTTCCTGCGCGAGGGCACGAGCTGCCTGCAGTACGTGGCGCTTGAGGGAAACCACTGACACTGTATTGAATGTCCGTTCTCCGGGGGGAATGCCGGTGATTCTCGGGCGTTGCGAAGGGGCCCATTTCTGAGGAGGGAGGAGGTGCTGGCTTCTCTTGAGTGCGGTGTCACGTGAGGTACAGGTGCTCAGAAAAACCTGCGCATTTATCGTTTGGGGGTTTGTGTGTGTTTTAAGCAGTCAGGGCTGAGCATTGCTCAGACTACTGGTTGGCAGCTGGAGTGAATGCAGCTGTTGTGAGCTGGGCAGGCGTCGCTCAGCTGGCTGTCGTTCCTGTACATTTGTTACTGCTTCCTTCCCGAGGCCAGCAGCTGGGCGTGCCCTAGGATGAAGTTTCTGGCATTTTAAATTATTAGGGAAGAGACCAGTGTAGCGGGATTGAAAGAAACTCTTTAGGTCATTTTTGGACAGTTAAGCCATTAGAGCAGCACAATAGTGATTCTTCTGGTGGCAAGACCTTTTGCGTTGAATTTTGCTCTTCCCAGAGCGGTCAGATTGGGCGCTAAGGCTCTGTTCCTGGAGCCAGAGCCACCACAAGACTCGGATTAAGGAGGTGACGTTACACACCAGCCGCCCTAGCGAGGTGGTTCTCTGCTGCCAGCTGACAGTGCTCAACGCAGTGCGTGGGTGTGTGCCCGCAGCTTCGCTCTTGGGGGGTTTAGCTGGCGTAGGACAGCCCAGGTGCGTTTGTGGAGAGTTTGGGGTTTTATTGCTTGTCACGGGTGGGAGCATCACGTCTGGACAGAGTTGGTTAGCTAGAAATCGTGCCCTTTGATCAGAAGTGTGTCTGCACGCCCCGGCCGAGTCCCTCTGGCAGCAGTAATAACGAACCGTGTTTTTATCCTCACAGCATCACCCTCGGCGGATTTGGTGCCGATCGTTTCTATTTGGGCCAGTGGCGGGAAGGTCTGGGAAAGCTCTTCAGCTTTGGTGGCCTTGGAATATGGACACTCATTGATGTGCTGCTAATTGGCGTGGGCTACGTGGGACCCGCAGATGGTTCTCTTTATATTTAAATGTGGGTGCACTATGTCTGGGAGGGGAGGAATTGCTTGGAAGCCGGGGCTCTCAGAAGAAGGAGTAAAGATGGGAGCCGCTGAGGTGGGATGAAGAACAAGTGTTCTTTCTGCGTGCGTACGCTTTATTGTACAGTATCTGTACTTAGTTTGCCTTTAACCTAAGGTAAAATAAAAGAGTGGATCACTGAGTAAGTTGAAATGCATTTTCCTTCTGCCAGGGACATGAGGTTTTTCTGCTACAAGTTGAACGGCTCCCCAAATTCTGCACTGCACTTGAGCCTGGGTGGTCTGTCAGGCACCAGAGACACAAACTAACTTGGATATTGAGCTGTTTCCTTCTGAGTTGTATGCTTGAATGTAACTTCAAAGCCAACTTCCCTAAATATGTCTGTAACTTAGTCTTTTCATTGCCGTGGGGGCATAACGTGTTTGCCTCAGTCACCCTGGCAGTACGTTGATCGCTGTGGTTTATGATGTTAATGACATTCCTCTCCGTTTGGGGATATAGCAAGAGCTAGCACTTAATTAGTGAGTTGTTGACTTACAATTGTGGGGGTTTTAGGATTAGGTTGCAGTAACGCTGAAGCTAAACGTGAAATAATTGCCACGGGCTGTAGGACTGTTCCGGAATGCTGGTTTTGGCCGGGTTTGACCTGCGTGTTAACGAAGGGTACAGCTCGCGTCCTGTGCTCGCACGCTTGGCGAGGCACCGCGGACCAAGGGCTGGCGGCACAATGGGTGTCGTTGCC